ACGGCCGGACCAGGTTTGCTCGACAGGTCCTCGCAGAGCTCCGCCTGGTAGGCGGTCAGCAGTGAGGATACGTTGAGTGCCCTGGCGGACAACGCTGCGGCTTTATAGGCCCGTTCCGTCATCGCTGACTGGAACCGGTCTGCCTTCACCGGTAGCGTGGGGTTCCTGCTTGGTGTCAGAGCCAGCCTCGGTTGGAGGTGGGCTGCCACCAGCGGTTCCATGGGCGGCATGCGGAGCAGGCCGAGCCTCTCCATACCGTCACAGTCCAGGGAGGAGGCACCCTGGATTGGGGGCCTTATTACTGAAGGGGCGGTCTCTCCACGAGACCGACACCTCATCCAGCATCTCCGGGAAGACTGGAAGGAGCTGCCTCTTTGTCCTCGCTGCGTGGGGCAAAGTCTTCCCCTCGTAGCGAGACCTGGAGGTCTCCTTGGCCATTTCAGGCCATGGGATGTCCAGCCTGGACGCGGCACGTTGACACACGGCCTGCAGGTCCATGCTCAGACAGGGCGAAGCTGGTGCGCTATCGCCCGGGAGAGCAGCCATCGCTCCCGGCTTTGCAGCCTGAGCTGATGACACGAAGACATCATCGTCTTGCTCATTCAGAGTCGGACAGGACGGAATCCAGAGGTTTCATCCTCTTCGTCCTCCATGTAGGCCAACTCCAGGACATCATCCGCGGGCGAGACTATGGTGAGGTCCAGTTGGAGCCCCAGCTTGACACAGTGCGGGGCTCCGCTCCCACGTCCCTCGCTGCCACCGGGTCCCAGCCTGACACGGCGCGGGACTCCGGTTCTGCAGCTGCTACTACTGATGAGCCCCAGACCGACACAGTGCGGGGCTCCATCTCTGTGGCGGACGCCCCCGTGTCCTGATTTCCGTCCGGTAAAATCAGAGGACATGAGGGAGTCCTGACCCGACAAGCTAGCTTGGCGTGCTAGCCGTCGGCGGAGGCTCTTGATGGTGAAGCGGGCACAATGTCCGCACGAGCCGGGGTTGTCGATAGCCTCCTGGGCGTGTTCCAGCCCGAGGCAGGACGAGCAGACCTGGTGTGAGTCTGTGTCTGATATCTTCAACCCGCAGCCGCAGAGCCGAGCCTCCGAGTCCCTGACTCCTCTGGTGTGAGGGAGAGAAGCGTCCATCTCGTTCGCCGTGGTGACGGCGTGGAGAGGACCCGCTCGTAACAGGTACGTTGCTGAGAAAAAATCCTTCCCCACCTGTCGTTAATCCGGAGAAAAAATCGACGGTGTAGAATTTTATGCTCAAAGAATATTAACTGGTGTGTTAATACCCTTTTTATCTTCCCCTCCTCTGGTGTGAGAGAGAAAAAGAAAAAACCGTCCCCGCTACCTTGGTGTCGGTAGTGAGGAAAGGCAAGCTAGTAAGAGGTGTGTTACCAGCTTGAAAAATCAAAACCTTACCTTTAATTCCGAAGAAATAAACGGCGAGGTAGATTGCAACACTAACTGGTGTGTTAGTATTAACAGAAGTATATATAAAAGTAGCCGGCGAGCGCCCGTCAACCGAAGTTAGCTTGGATAGCTTGGTTCCGTCTGTGGACTGTGTGAGCAAGCCCGGCTAGCAATAGAGATGTGCTCTGAAGCGAGAAGAGGTGTTTGAATGATGCATGCGGCGTAGCGCAAGCTACTTATAGGGGGTAGATTCCCTGACGCTGACGTCAAGATCACCAGCCAATCAGGATTGGCGTAATGAGATTGATGCTTCTGTTTGCTCCGCGATGAGGCGCATCCCATAGTGAGACATCGAACGGAGTGTTACGAATGAGAACTATGTAACCATTTTTATTTGGTCCTTGAGAACAAATAATGATTTAACCAAGTACATATGTTTTTGTGTGTTTTTAAAACAACATTTACAAAAGCATAACCCCTATGAAAAGATGATTTATTATAGAGGAAACCAGAAGAAGCAACCACAGCTGAGCACTGATGCGTAGCAGAGTCACCAGTGATCATAATGAAACTGAGGTTATGACAGAATTTTTTTCTCCATAATAATTATGAGCACAAGGAAAATTGGAATTTGCTATATCCTTAGAAGTTCAATCATAGTACAGTATTTCTCTGGCTATCATTCCTCTGGGCCAGCATTATGTTCAACATGATGTTTTGCTTTTGTAATTGATGAAATTATAAGATGCAGTTTTTCTTTTATTGTGTGTCTTCCTGTCTTTTGCAGTAAAATTGCCACTTGACTTCTTTCCAACACAAATCATCTCCTCTTTAGTATTGCAACAACGTTCTGTACAAATGAAACATGTAATTATGGCTGCGGCGGTGATGCATGATACTTTGTTAAAATGTGTTTTCACAATTCATGGTGTTTATCACCATAATGTATACCTCCTTTCAGAAATTCTTTCAGAAGAATAAAAAACCACAGAACAAGAGGGATAATTAACTCCCTTGTTAGCACTTTCTATGTTAGTAAAGATCAAGGTATGATTTATGTAAGGGATAATGTGCAGCGAGGCGGTCATTATGGGTAAAAGAACACCCGACAGGCAGGAACTAAGGCCTTAGTCTTTAAAAATGTTGGGTTACTTAACGGTACTTTGGTTCTTTGATAACAGAGTAAGATTGTTTAACTGTAAATAGTACCATAGTGAAATACTGAACAATGATAGAAAACATATCTATATTGGTTAATGCCCCTTCATAATGCCCTTAAGTTATGATTAAACTTACAAGAACCCTTGATACCCATCTCACTCCAGTCCATTGATTCTAAATTTATTTCACCAACCAGACCAAGATACGCTGGCTGTGTGAGGAGGTGCGGGAGTGCAACACAAGAGAACAGCGCCTGAAGAAGCAGCAACAACAGACCAGGGATCAGTTAAAGGCCCTGAGGCAGAGCCGGGACTCTGAGCAGACGGCTCTCCTGCAGCGCCTCGATCAACAGGAGAAGCTGCTGCACTCCCTTGACACTGAAAAGAGAGGTACATAGACAGCGTCTAATTAGAAAAACACCATGTTGATTTCACTTAGGAATGCAGTGCAAGATCATCTTCAATGCCAAGCTATACAACAGCATCATGTAAGCAGCTAATACGTGATTAAAAAAGACCTTGGACGAGAAATCCCTTAGTTTGCCTATGGATGGTGGTGAAAGGCGCAGAGGTGGGGGACTCGAGTCAGACTTGATTTTTGGACTCAAGAATTGCTTGACTAACATTGATAAAAGACTTGACTTGACTTTGACTTGGTATTCATGACTTTAGACTTGACTTGAGACAGATGACTCGTAAGGACTTTACTTTTTAAAATTAAATATTTGCATTTGTTTTTGTATTGTACGGAGCCCCTAAAGGGCAATACAAAAAAAGAAAATATACTGTCTCTTGTTCGCACGAGAAAGTTACCGGAGCTCCAAGTAGGAAGTGGAGCACACAGGAGACAACCGTTTCATTGCAGACTGTAATGTTTATGTTGGGAAGTGGCAGTGCCTACATTAATTTAGATATATTTCGAACTCTGACTCTCATACACTTCATGAAATCGCTACAGCACCAGGAGGCAGCGGGTCGTGTAACTCCGCCTCTGAGAAGTGCAGCACCAGCGCGCAAAGAGCTGTGCCTTTTACGCAACGCCTTCACTGTGTTTACTTTCATTAGAACAGCTAAAGAGCGACCGCAGGCTGCTTCGTTTAACCACACACACCTCTACACACATCAAACTGCCCGATTGATCCCCCTATTACTCGTTTTATGAAGGGGATGTCTGGACACTAAGGCGAATGATGTGTGTGTGCTTGTNAACTGCCCGATTGATCCCCCTATTACTCGTTTTATGAAGGAGATGTCTGGTCACTAAGGCGCATGATGTGTGTGTGTTTGTGCTCTGCTCAGCTCTGCGTGTGTTTGTGTTTGTCCGACAACGGCATTTGTTTTCAAATGACCATGAACAGTAATTTACACACATCTGGCCAACTCCATATGTATATGTGGGTGTTCCCAAATGGAAGAAATTTGTTTAATCTTAATGTCACACTGTCTGCACACACAAACACTGATGCAATATTTCTTTGTGCACTGACACAGTTAGGAAAACAATGAGACGGTGTCATATGGGAGCGCCTTAGACAGGAGGAATGCTGTGACCCTGCTGAAGGGGAGCCAGGGCAGGAGGCTTCACACGTTGATGTCAAATATTTGTGTTGTACTCCGGTTTTCACTTTAGANCCCTTTTAGAACTTATACGGTTATCATTTCAGCGCCCCACTCTCCATTGCTGTTTATGTTGAAAATAAAATCAAACTTTTCATAACCACAATATTTTTAACTGATTTTAAATGCGGAAACTTGACTTGACCTGAGCAATGACTTGACTTGCTTGACTCTCACCACAGTGACTTTGGACTTGCTTGAGACTTGAGACTTGCTCATGTAGGACTTACTCCCACCTCTGGAAAGGCGTAAATACTTAGCATAGCTCTTAAGGATAGTCTTCCTTGACTCTTTGACAGTCAATTTGATTGAAACTAAACAACTGTTTTTCTATTTTCATTAAATGACAACCTCATTAAAGCAGTTACTGATTAACTGCCTGCATATTACTGAAGGCTTCTTGTCACCAACTCGTTGCTGTGTGTTGTGTGCTTACGGATGCTTGTTAAAATGGCTGTTGCTCTGTATCTGATGCATTGTTTTTTTTCAGTATCATGCACACTGGCATGTCTGTTTATGATGACAAATGTTTTAGGAAGCATCCTAATGTGTGTGAACTTTCCGACTTCTGGAGACAATTTACTTGTTTTCCACTTCCCCACTCCCAATTTCTTTCACTGAGTTTCTCCTAATGAGCTGCAACTGCCAGAGGAAGAACAACTTGTTTTTTTAGCGCTTCATTTGAACAATGCAGTGAAATGGGTCTAATTTGTGTTCCATTAACAGAGGGAAAGAGAGAGTTGAAAGACCCGGTGAGACTACAGAGAGGGGTAGTGAGACATGGAGAGGAAGATGGCAGAATGTGCTATTCCAGTAGAACTCGCCAGTATTTATTTTATTTTTGGGCTATTGCGGTAGCATTGAACCATTTAGATTATCCATACGCTGATACACCCCTTAGGAAACACAGTTCACTGCCAGGACTCTCTTTAGTTATAAGACATAAGAGTTAGGCCCACAACAGCTAAATATCTGGTTATTTGATATAAATGTGTGCTTGGATTAGCTTCTCAGTAGTAGTTGCTCAGTGTTTCTCTTGTGTTTATAGAGTGGTGCAGTGATGAGTCTTTTTGTAGGCCAACCCAGAAGTTAGCAGAGCAAGGGCTCCCTGGAAAAAAAGCAATGACATTTTTAAATTGGATTTCAGAGTACTGCAGAAAATAAGATCTTAGGCAAACCCACATTAATAGGTATCTACGTTCATAATTCAATAGGACGTTATAGAGTGGTGAAGGGTGACACATTTTTGTAGTCCAACCTTGAAATTAGCAAGGGCTCCCCCGACAAAAAGCAATGGGATTTGATGTGGAAAACGCATGTTTGTAATATCACGTTTGAATTTTGGAGAGTCAATGGAATCGGCAGAAGTAAAAAGCTATCGTTAGCCAAAAAAAACCTGCGTCACGGTCACATGGCTACGTGCAATGTAGGGCTACTTCTAAAACATCATTATCTTATTTTGCATGTGTTAGTAGAGAGCTATCGCATGAGGAAATATTCATTTCTGTTTTCTTTTCAGCCATGTTTAAAGCCGGCATTAAATCCGTTATTTTAAGCAAAACACTAATCCAAAATCAAAACAGATGTTTGCACAATAAGTATTCTTTATTGGGAGAATATTTCTCTACGATTATATTTGACAATGATTCATACACATCAAAAGGTTTTTGAACATTTTCTTTCTTTTTTTCTTAGTTCCATAATGAGTTGCCATCTTTTTATTAGAACACAATTATAAAAAAAAAACACAAAGCAAAAAGTTTGACAGGAATAATGCGGATCGGAGAAAACATGAGTAAATATTGTGGCATTTGCTAAGTAAGACTCTACTGCTAACTGAAATGAGAGTTATTCCTTTGATTCAACACCTCATTAAGCAAACAGCCAGTGATTGTCATTAAAAACAATTTGTTGTTGCAATCAACAACAAACACAGGCAGAGTTTCTCTCTCCACCTGTTCAGGCAAATATAATCCACTAGAAGCAAACTGTGTTTGCATTGTAACATAACGGGATGTGTAGCATTCATTACATGACCAAGGCACTGCTATTCTTTTGATGGTATGCTGTAATGTTAAGTGAATTAAAATAAATGTATATAAATAATTTACAAGGCAATAACATATTTGTTTATATTTATATAAATATTTAAATGTTATTCCACTTACTTGAACCTCTTATGTTCATATAAATATTTGTATTACATTTTTTTCTAAATTTTAATTACTATCACAAAACCCAATTGATGAATAAAGCATTCTGATGATTCTGATTTATAAATCTTTTTTTCCTAGAAATTGGTAAAACTGATCATTTTGGGATCTTCCTATCAAGTTGATCCTGATCCTCACCCATGTCATTTAAAGGGGCCATGTTTAGCTCACTTTCAGGTTCATATTTGTTTTTCCTTCCTCTACTGTGACATATTGCCTGTGCTGCAGCACCTCTTTTCACCCTCTGTCTGAAACCAGAGTCCAGTCTGCTCTGATTGGTTAGCTGGCCGGCTGCTGCTGAATAAAATCCATCATGCACCTTTATTGAATCCTATGTCAATACTTGGACAGGAAATAAACTTGAATCTTCTTTGTTTCAGAGCTGTTGGACAGGAGTCGCAGGAAGGAGGAAGAAATGCGGAGCCTTCAGGTTCGCTTTTCTGCTCTTTATTAGTCCCTATTTGTTTGTGTCTGTAAATCTGCACCCTAAACAGATTTTAAATATCCAGCTGGCCTCATTTCTACTGCGCTGCCAAAAAGAGACAGCTGGTACTATTTTTATTTATACACCACATTGCCTTCAAATTGTGTTTTGCATATCTTTTGGGTGTTTCTGAGTAACTGCTGGGCTGAGTCCTGTGATGCAGTGCTCCAAACATTAGTACAAACAGCCGTGCGCTTGAGAGACTGCTCGCAGCCGTGCTTGGACAAGTAGCTAATTACTGCAGACACCAGGCCTTGGAGTTTAAAAGCCACCAGAGGCCTTGTCTCTGTCTTTCAACACCGCAGCATCTTCATTTGGCGTGCCACCAACTCACCTCGTCTGCATCACACTAGCCCCCAGTGCCTCATCGACCCTTTGCTCACCGTTAAACTACAAAACACATATGCTGCGTCTCAATTCTCATACCTCTGTACTAACATTTGCGATTTTAAGTGCATCCCAATGGGAGGTATTGCCAATGCAGAATCTGTATGGTAAAACATTGGAAAAGCTGGACACAAATCTCACTCAATGAGATTGGCTGCAAAACGGAAGTGTGTTTGCTCCTGTGATCACAGCACTATACAAATAAAAGTTAAACAAGCGTTTCTTTCAGTATTTATTGAACGTACCAGTATACTGGTGATGAAAACAAGCACCCATTCATTGTATTGAGTTAATTGAGCAGTCTGTTATGGCTTGCTACTGCGATCAAATTGTTGCTAGCGATCTAGCTGGTTAACAGCGCTGATCGTCACTTCCAGGAAAGGAGCGAAACATGCGATTTGAGCTACAGGGTGTGATACAGTGGCGTGGAGATGACGTATTTTTGTAAGCCAACCTGGAATAGCATAGCAAGCGCACCCTCGACAAAAAGCAATGGGATTTAACATTGGATTTTGGAATATTGAAGAAAATAAGATCTGTGACAAACACATTTATCATAGTGTTTTTGTTCAGCAGGATAATCTCCACATATTACAAGATTTGTTTTACTTTCAAAATTGTAACTGCAATCCCGGAAGTAAAAAGCTAAAGCTGTATTCAAATAATGATATGCAACAGTGTAAAACTTTATTTTCAATGCACTATAAAAATACAGTTGACTTCGAGACTACGGACCCGGAAGTGGTAAAATGCTAAGAGTTTTTTAAGACTCATTCCTGCACCACTTTTCAAACACTGCGCAAGTGTTCACTGTACGAAGTAGAGAATCCGCATTGAGACACAGCAATACTCTCACACACACTGAAATGTCCGCTTAGCATTCGTTCCTTCCCAACGTCTGTCTGTACCTCCGTGTTGCACTCACGGTCCCATCTGCGGCTGCATGATGGGTCCTGCCAGAGCTCGCATGCAATTAATCAGCCTTCTCAAACCCGGCCGAGCTTTTAATTATGACGGATGAGGAGAGAGACGTGTAGAGAGGGAAGGCAGAGTGACTGAGGGATGTAAACGAGTGAGGGAAAAAGGAGGGTGGGCGGATTTTTTTTTTTTTAAAGTACTCTTCATAGAAAAGCATCAACACATTAGAGGCAGCCGGCCGAGGGGGAAGAGCAGGTGTGCGTTTGAGTGGCAGATAAGAGGCATAGCATCACTTATGCATCGTTAGTGAGGGAACATCAGTCAGGAGCGGGATGAGCGGCGGGAGCGGCCTTGTCTTTGTGTGTGTGATAAGAAGCATGTTGTGAGCTACACACTCCCCAGCGCCTTCATTTCCTTCCCTTGTTACCTATTGGTTGCAACACTATATTCCTCTCCTCTGCCTCTACTCACACACACACACACACACACACACACACACACACACACACACACACACACACACACACACACACACACACACACACACACACACACACACACACACACACATACACATACACATACACATATACACACACACACTTGGTTTTTCTCTGCTAGTTTACCATTTAGAGAAACACTCACCATATGGCTTACTTTGCTATTGGTTTTCATGGTTACACAACAGTTCTATAATGCATTATAAACACACCTATATTGGTTAATAGTCTTACTGTATACCACTGTATAAAAGGACTGGTCAATATATGGATATTGTGATATGAGTCTAGATATGGCCTCAGATTTTCCATATGCTATGTTTTTCTGTTTTTAAAAGGTGCAATACAGTAAAGTGAATTCATTCTCTGAACTTAGCAGATTGTTATCATGACTAATATTTACCTTTGGCTACTTATTCATTAAATTCACATTACTGTTGATTATTTATCCAAATTCTCTGTTTGTTAATATTTCTTTAAGCATCAATGGTCAACCCTACAATATCCTTCGAATATTGTTATTCAGATATATATTAAAATATATTGTGATACAATTTGTTTTCTTTTTTCCTCCTGTCCTTTTGTAAATCTGCTGTAGAGTAATTTCATCTCATACATATTCATAGTGCTTTAAAAAAAAGATGAATAACACACTATAAATCATGACTCATTATGAATACTTTTAGGTGTACTGGTAAATTGGTAAAAAAACACGACATTATATTTTTATTTTCTTTACTTAGTATCAGAAACCTGTATCCAGTCTAGGAAACACTAGACTTTATTTGTAACGTTTTGTGCATTACAATTCATAAAGAAGAGATCTAAAAACAAGAAGATGTTTACAAAAAATAAACCTCCCTTCTACTTCTTCTGCAAAAATGAAATTCAGTGAGTGACCAGAAACAGGTTAAATGATAGTTATAAATAAAATAATTGTTCTGAAACATCATAAATATTTATGATGGCTTATAAAACATTATATATTTAAAGGGGAGGCTGTGGCTCAGGGTTAAATGGTCGTCTACCAATCAGATGGTCATTGATTTGATCTCCACCCCTGCAGTCCACATGTCGCAGTGCCAAGGGGCAAGATACTTAACCCGACTATAAGTATGTACATAATGCATTAAAAACATGGAAGAGTGTCCCTACTTAATTTTATATATGCATATGAAGTAATATTGCTCTGATTGTGTCTTTACAGGAAGGTGTATTGGATCTGGAGATGGTAAGGTTCTATCTATTTTATCAAAGTAATGTATGCAGTTAAGAAAAAGTCAGTATGTATATTAAGGTTTAGAAAGCTCGAGGTGTTAAATTAGATCAGCATGACTCGATGCAGCTGTGTAGGCAGGTTAATGTAAGGCTGTGTTTGTTTAGCAACCCATAGAGGCTAACACAGGGTGAGAACTCACTCACTCAAGGCCCGGCGCTCCGTTAATCATCCCGAGTCACGCTGATGGGGTTAATAACCAAGCTGTACTGACAATACAGTATTGACCTCACCATCTAAGCTGCTAACGTTCACCAAACATCCATAATAAGCTATTACACAGAATAATTTAGCACCACGGAACGCTTCTATTGACCCGAGCTATTTCTCACTCTCTTGAAGAGAATACATAAATAAAAGTATCTGACACACGCTGTCCATCAATCAAAATTATGTGACACCCTTAACCTTCTTAACCCTTCAATTAGCTGGTGTCAAAGAAGAGGAAGTACCTCGGACAAATCATTTTTCTGCTTACCGCAACGTCACAGCGGCAGGATGATCGACCCATCCTTTGTTCGGCCATAGTGATGGGGATCAATTTGGGTGGGGGGGACCACTTGTATCTCAGTGTGCTATTCAGTGTAGCATCAGCTTGACGCCTTGTAACAACCAGGCTTAAATGCTCCATCTGAATAGGAGGGCTATTGAAACATACAGGATTGGGATGAATAGACTGGAGTGTGGTTACGTAATCACAGATTAGGCTGAGTGTGTTGTAACAAAAGTCCTCAATTAGCTTTTGAATTGGTCCAGCTCTATGACATAATGTCTGTTAGCTTGAAGGCTTAAATAGGAAAATGTATCTGCAATAGCAGGAGGAAAGCACCTATATTGCCTCAAAAATATCAATTTTTCAGGTCCTGGTAGCCAAGTGGTTCAAACCGATCATACCTCTACATTTTTCTCAACTTTTAGAAATATTATCTATATCCTTAGTTTAATCACTTAAAGGTAGGGTAGGTAATTTTGGAGAAACCAGCTCGAGTGCGCTAGAATTAGAAAATACACAACCGAAAAAAATCTGCCACTTCCTTACAGAGCCCCTCCTCCAACACACACGAACGCGCACATGACCAATGAGGGCACGAGATAAGTTTGTGCACAGATGGAAGGCTCACAGGCAGGTATACCATCCAGTTACTTTAGCCGGGCCGGTGTCGGTACCATATGTGTTCGGGGTACCATATGTGTTCGGGGTCCGTCTCTTACCAATGACGTCAATGACGTCACGCATTGTTATTGGCGTTGGAACCGCTGCTACTCATAATGTGTATGTAACGTTATGGCTTTAAAAGGAACAAAGCCTTCCGTTAAGCTGTTTTCACTCTCACTCTTATGGTGATAGCCGCACACCAATTTCCCCGCAGGCTAGGCAGTCAAGAATATTCTAATTAGCTTCGGCTTGATGTGGAGATGTGATTTGATGTGTCGTTTGTCCCCCAACTCCTCTCCAAAGTTGAGATATGTAATAAAATACTCAGGGGAGTTTCCTGAATTTTCATGCCCAAAGCCAAGCACTAGGCCCTGGGTAAATTAAGAGGCTGATCTGGGGCACTTTTGTGCACTTTCCCTGGTGCTAGAAACTCAAGTCAGGCATCCCTGGAATCGTCTCAGAGAGTAGATGGTAGACATTAAGGGTAAAATGCCACTGGCCCTCCGGGCCGGTGGAATTGTATTATCACTGGCCCCACCATTG